TCAATTATTTTGATCAAATTCATCAATTTCATTTTAAATTACTCATATCAATCTCTAGAGCAGAATCCGACTGTTTGGTAGTTAGTATGTATATACAGCGACACTTGGTCAGATCATCCTACAGCCAACTGAATTGACTCTTTTTTCCGAATATCTGGATTGCCAACTACGCATTTTACAATCAATCATTTAACTAAACCTATAAGGGTTACTTGGATTCGGATGGAATTCAGAGTCGCCAAAATTATTTCATTTTGTTTAGTTGCACACACGATAAAATAATATACTGCATTGAATATTCGGACCCTTTTAACGTTCCTTGAGTGGAATGTCCATTTGAATTTAACCCCTTAACTCCGAATTATTATTTTGTAAAATTCATTCAACCTTACCCGTGCGAGTTTCATAGCAGACTAATGTCAACAACACGATGAGTTTCGGTTGCAATAGGCAAAGGCTATAGTACAATCCTACTTGCGTAAAAGGATTTATGACGAGCATTTATATAATTCTGCGCATTATTATGTCATTTGTTTTTTCTAAATAAAAGCTAAGTTAATTAAAGTTTCTTCGATAAGGGAATAGAACTCCTAGGACCAGTTAACAAGGCTTTTTCATAACGCATTTTGAGCTATTCGGCTGAAAGTTCTTCCATTGATGGGCATTACTCTCTGATTTGACTTACCCACATTATTGTCGAATATTGGTCCTTATCCTTAATAATTAATGCGCTTTTAACTATAGAAATTTGATAGTTAATCAAATAAGCACATGGCAATACCCATGGTATAAACCCAATATTATATAATATTATCATTGTTCTGATCGCCGTGTATGGAATTCGTGATTCTGAAGTAATTGTTGCGCTACTCAATCTTTGACGTAAGATAACTCAGTGGTTAAATCCAAATAGAATAATTCCCTTACATGCACTTTCAAAAACGTGATATAACCCTTATCGTGTATATTAGCAGACTTTGAACAATAGAAGAAATAATTATGGATACCATGGCGTTTATTGTTAAACTCCTAAATCCTTTAAAAATAGACAGGTTAGATTGAGACATTAAATGATTGGTAGATTCTAGCCTAAATGCGCAATTCCTTAAATTGATCAGATTTTTCATCAAGGTCATTGTTATTTAGCATTTATTGTCAAAATACCAAATGTTTGAAGAAATATTTATAAACTCTCAATAATGAATCATTTTCATGTTTTAATTCACTTTCCTACTAAAATTAACATTTAGAAATTTTATCTAATTTTTGAGGACTTGAAGTGACAGAAAATAACGATTAGCCGTACCTTTATGATTGTTTCTGAGTGGGTTTTGATGCTACCAGAGCTCAAATTTGTAGCGGATTGCTACACTAGTAAAGCCTGACCGACTCAGAAATCTCTATGGCAAATTCTCAAACACCTAGCTAGACTCCCAGAACCAGCTAAGCTACAGCCCAGCTATAAGGGAAACAGACGTGTAGCACGGAGCATGTTTATTCAGTAAGTATTTTGCGGATCAAGTGTGTACACACAGGGAGCTACTCATGATCAGGATGGGGGATTAGGTTAAACAGAGGTTAATGATTGGTCACTGTTTGTACGGTCGCTGAACACAGAGTTGTACGGCCGCACCTCCCAATCCTGGTGAGCAGACATGCAGGCATACGATGACGCACAGAGCGATAACGTGTCCCACACATTAGAATACGATTAAGTAAGCTTACTAGGTTCATAGAAGATATCTTTCAGCAATCCATCTGATTATTTTGATCTCGTATGATTTTACAATCGGTAAGCATAAATGAAGTGATTTGCAAACAGCGATCTTGCAACAGAATTGAAATTACTTTCATTGCAGAAATAAGTATATTTGGGTCCATAATAGCCTTTATTAATGAATGACTCGCTGGTTTAAAGAATAACGACAGCGAATGTGAATACGATAATCGAATAACATGCGAGTTTATAAAAGGTGAATTTTATAAAAGTGAAGGTTAATTTATCAAAATTATTGTCTAATTGAACAGAGGATGTAATGACTTCACACACTTCTAGCGGGAGCTGCGCAAATAAACCTTGGCTAAACCTCCCCAATCTCTATGGCAAAATCACCTACTATGAGATTATTCCCGAAATTGGCTAAGATGCCTCAACAATAGTGAAGAAACAGCGCGTGTAGAGTCAATAGGGCTTATCCTGTTCGTTCATCAATGGTACCAGGAATCACGACCACCCGTTCTACTTGAAATGATCGGCAGCACGGCTGTGACTTTGAGAACATTCTATTGCTCATGATGTTTCCTTTTTGCAACCATGTTAGAGTTGTACCCTCCACACACCTGTCAGTAAAGGAATTGATTCATTATGGTTGGAATACTATTCCAAGAACAGTTGGCCGAGATATAAATAAAACCAAGGGCTAAGAAATACGCCACAGTTCTCGTAAAATCACGAGGTCCATTATTCATTTGCCATCACCAACCCCAAAATTCTTTTCACGCGAACCAAATTCAACGAGGTTTTTGATCCAAAAATGCCATGGTGGAAATATTATTGTGAATTAGTGGCAAACATTTTCTCATGACGAAATAAAGATTTATTCTGTGCTTTCTTCCCATTATTGTTGAAAATAACGCTTATCACATAATTCGTTTACGGGGGTGTACGATAGACCTACCTCCACGTGGTGCACCCTGGGCAACGTATACTCATACGGCAAAAAGTCTATTAACCTGCAGTCGTATACGCATACGGCAAAAAAGTCTATTAACCGGCAGTTTTCTTCTCACTTCAAACTACCATGACCCCCCTATATGTCCTACATTCTCATACGGCAAAAAAGTCTATTAACCGGCATTTGACATGACTTCAAACTACAATCACCCCACTGTATGTCAAATTCGACTACTTGACTTCAAACTACCATCATCCCACTCTATGCCATATTCGTAAATTCGACCACTTCAACAGTACTCATCTTACCTTTTCTCTTCGACTTCTCACTTCAAACTACCATCACCCCACTGTATGTCAAATTCGACCCCTTCCACAGTACTCACCTCACCTTTGCTCTACTGTCGACTTCTTCCACAGTACTAACCTCACCTTTTTTCTACCTATTTCTCACTTCAAACTACCATCACCCCACTGTATGTCATATACCTCTGACTTCAAACTACCATCACCCCACTGTATGTCATATTTCACCACTTCCACAGTACTCACCTCGCCTTTTTTCTACCTTCAGTTGACTCTGACCCCACTGTATGTCATATTCGACTAAGGCAGTTGACTTCTCACTTCAAACTACCACCACCTCATGCACTATGGGCAACGTATACTCATATGGCAAAAAAGTCTATTAACCTGCAGTTGACTTCTGACTTCAAACTACCATCACCCCACTGTACAGTTGACTTCTCACTTCAAACTACCATGACCCCACTGTACGGTAGTTGACTTCTGACTTCAAAGACAAAAAAGTCTATTGATCGGCAGTTGACTTCTGACTTGCAAAAAGTCTATTGATCGGCAGTTGACTTCTGACTTCAAACTACCATCACCCCACTCTATATCATATTCGACTATTTTTACAGTACTCACCTCACCTTTGTCCATATTCGACCATTTCACAGTACTCACCTCACCTTTTTTCTTAAATTCGACCACTTCAACAGTACTCATCTTACCTTTTCTCTTCGACTTCTCACTTCAAACTACCATCACCCCACTGTATGTCAAATTCGACCCCTTCCACAGTACTCACCTCACCTTTGCTCTACTGTCGACTTCTTCCACAGTACTAACCTCACCTTTTTTCTACCTATTTCTCACTTCAAACTACCATCACCCCACTGTATGTCATATACCTCTGACTTCAAACTACCATCACCCCACTGTATGTCATATTTCACCACTTCCACAGTACTCACCTCGCCTTTTTTCTACCTTCAGTTGACTCTAGCTACCATGACCCACTGTATGGCATATTAGTCTACTTCCACAGTACTCACCTCACCTTTTTTCTACCTCTGAGTCTGTATACTTTCACAGTACTCACCTAACCTTACCTTTTCCTCTACCTTTGTGTCTGCCTCTTTTACATATTTGAAACACTCTCCTGTTCCCTCCCTCCTCTCGAATTTTTTCCACTTTGATGTTATTTCCCCTCTGTGAAGCTCAAAGTCAGCTAACGGGCTAATGATAATTATAAAAACGCCTGCCATTTGATATAAATAAATATTCGATATACGACAGGTTTAAGTTAAACTATGCATACTTATTACATAATAGTAGCATAACGAATAAGTATTAGGTATTTGCCGAGAACTGAGTTTATTATTAATGAACAGCTCATTAATGTATGTGCGTTAGAAACACTTTGAAATCCTTGCCTAACATTTTGCAATGCTAAAACACAATTTGCGTTTAAAAATTAATTAAGTCAGACGATGTCAAGGACTTATACATGACCTAATAACTTCATTGGTGAGCAAAGTTTGCACTGAGTCACTAATTGTTTAATTGGTTTTTACTTTGATAAAATAATCAGAGCTAAAATGGTTCACAAAAAGTCAAATGAAGAATCGCAACTGAAATTACGCAAATTAACTCTACATTCCACGGAGTCTTGGCCTAAAGTCTATTGATTTTCAACCACGTGCCTCCATTAATTATCCTTACGCATGCACTTGAAAACCAATAAATTCCACTATTAACGCTCAATTGGTAGAAGAATTTTTACGAATAATGCAGCAAGATTCTGAGAACCCCAATATTGCAAATCCCTTCATATTAACCACAACTCCTCAAGCCGAATCGATTCCTAAGCCAGTGCTCTCTAAATATGCTGACCCAGATGTGCTAATTGGCAAGAAGCCATGGCCTGCCATTAATTCTAGTATAGTCGAAAATGAACCAACAATATGCATTCTTTGTGGAGTTGATTTCATTACTCGTTCAAGACTACAATCACACCTTTGTGACCATAGGCATATAGTTGGCAAGTTTGACAAGGACAGATATTTTACAGTTTATGAATGCAAATTCTGTTCAGCTGAACTCAACTGTGATAATGTTACTAAACATGGATGCTTTATAAAGCATACGAAGGATATATCAAAAGTAGAAGAAACAATGAATACTGTAGGATGTCCCGTAATTTGTATCTTTTGCAGGGGTAGAATCCTTCCTTCCAGAGCTCATCTTCAGACACATATTGTATTCTCACATTCACCTTATCGAAACCCTCTTAGATGTCCATTCTGTCATCTAGCATTTCATTCGGATGATCTTCTTATGCAAGAGTTGCATGCTATGGAATACCATACACCGGAAATTGCAATTATTAATATGCTTGCCTCCGACAAGCAAATTAATTCATCAACTGGAACTGTGGTAGATGGGAAAACTCCTTTCATCTGTCTTTACGATTCTGAGAAACTGGAAACATTTTGTTGGATAGATGGCATCAAGCCTTCTTCAAACAATGATAAAGACGAGAATCCTCAGAGTGCTTCAAATGGTCCTTGTTGTCAAACATTCAAGACATTGGCAGAGCTTACTTCACACATCTACTGCTGTCATACTATCATTCCCCATTTACGCTTTATGGGACAAGAACTCAATGCCAGTGAGCAGAGACAACTAGATGCTATTAATAAAGGTCTTCCTGGACCCTCTATTCGAGATCTAATAAAAAATCCAATAACTGGAGCTTCAAGGATGGGAAATTCTGTTGAACTAGAGCGCCAGCGTCTTACACTCACAAAGCATTCTTGTCATATTTGCCTGAAAAGTTTTAAATACGAGGAAAATCTACACATACATATCAATGCAATTCACACAGTCGAGACAAAGAAACGAGTCAAACATCTTACTGATCTTGGGGAGATGGGCAAGGATTTGAACATTGATAGGCTCTGCACAGAGTGCTTTACAATGTTTCCCTCAGTTTACCAACTCCAGGTAGGTGGTCGTTTTTTTTCTGCAAGTCGAAATTTATAGATTTTCAATAAAATTCCGCAAAGCAGAATAACCGGTATATTGAACAGACTTATTTCATTTTAGAGTTTCTTTTTATCAATTTTAACTTCATTTTCCAAACTAGGTCATGTCTATGTGCGCTTAAAAGGACATTAGACTCAATGAACCCGGGGGTGGGGGGTGGGGAAGTGGGTGGGGTTGAAGTGAAAAATTGATATGGTATGTATGAGAAATCACTAATCAATAGTTCATTGCTGAATCTGTAAAAATTTATGCACATTTTGCAAAAAGAACTGGAGGTTATATTTCTAAAATATGGAATTTGTGAAATATTTTGACTTTACAGGTACATTTAATGGTGGCTCATGGGGGCAACTCATTCTGGAACTGCGGTATTTGCGACCAACGATTTTGTGAACCGGATCAATTTCTTCCTGCTGTTTTAACAATGAAATCTATATTATCATTCATAGAAGATGGTGTGATTAATCTAAGTGTTCTAGAAGATTCGATTGACTATGCACTCTCCGAGTGTCCATCTATTGAAAGAAATCCTTCCTTCCATGAGGATCTGAATGCCCTTTACA